GCCAACTTGACGTCTTCACTAGATGTCTGTTATGTACCTTGAACTTAACATGTCCAAGATCAAATCTGCTCATCCATCCATCTGCCTCTTCACCAGTTAGTACATAGTGTCAATGTTGGTTGTGTTTTTAAATGAAGACATTTAAGTGTCCCAGATCCCTTGATTTCTCTTTTATCTCCCACATCTGTTTCATCAGCAAGCTTTGTCTTCTCCAAAATACAGCCTATATATCTTCATTTCTGTTCGTTTTTATTACTATTACCCTGAGCTCTTTGGCTCCTAAGTAATTCTTCTGCTTCTTTTTAACCTTGCAAACCATTATACTATTCCAATGCTCTTAGAACTGAATCCATACTGTTTTCTGAGGCTTACTATGCCCTCAGGATTTGGCCCTTGCCCCCTTCCCCTTGATCTCTTTAGTCTTGTTAGTCTGTCCTTGTTGTGTTTAGAACATGTCGAGATTGTTCTTACTGTCTAGAATGCCTTCCCCCCAATTTTTCCGTGGTTGGTTCCTTTCAAATATTGGTTTTAAATAGCATCCTCTTAAAGAGGCCTTCTGCGATAATTGAATTAAAAAAAGCTTCCCAGTCACACTTTATTATCAGCAAGCTCTGTCTTCTCCATCTAATAGTCCCTGGTTTACTTGTTAACTTATTGATTATATATTTCTCTCCATAGGAGTGTAAGTTCCTTGAAAGCCAGACTGTTTTGTTTTGTGGCATATTCCTAGCACCTGAAACGATATCATGTAGTGGGTGTCTATTGAATATTTTGTGGAATAAATGGACATTTAAGGGGGTATAGTAAATCAGAATTGCTGAAATGGAACAGGCTGCTTGAGGAGGTAGTAAATTTTCATCTTTGGAAGTGCCCAGGGAGATACTGAAGGATCGTTTGTAGTGGAGCGTTTTGAACAGGCTTTCTTTGCCTTTTCTGTCACATCTGAGAGATGTGACACCCTTATCAGTAACACAGGCTCTGGAAAGTTGATAATTCTCCATCTGGAGATGGCTTACCAGATTCTGTAAGTGGTAAGTATACTTTGGAAAGCTTCCCACGTGTTTGTACAGCCTCCTTCAGCATGCCTACCCGCTACCACCTCTTGGGCATTGTATGTATCAAGTGGTGTGTTGGTGTTTATGACCTCTGAGGTCCTTTCCATCTTTGTGGGACTCTGATTCATAAGTTTCATTGAAATAATCTGGTTACCATGATAACGGTAATGATAACTCAATTTATTATTACCTTATCCACCTTCATGGGTAATTTTTCTTTTTTTCTCCCATATTTCCTCAAAACTCAATGCTGTATTCTCTACTGCAATAATGACAATAAATAGTTTTCTATTTCTCCAGACTTATTTTCTAGATTCTAACTGAAATGACAAGATAATTATGCATATATTTATATATAAATGATTTTACTTTTTTTATTGAGACAAGGTCTCGCTTTGTTTCCCAGGCTGGAGTGCAGTGGCATGACTGTGGCTCACTGCAGCCTGCAGCCTCTCTCCTGGGCTCTCGAAATCCTCCCTTCTCAGCCTCTTGAGTAGCTGGGACCATAGGTGCATGCCACCATGTGGCTAATTAAAACTTTTTTTTTTTTTGGTAGAGACGAGATCTCCCTGTCTTTGCCAGGCTGGTCTCAAACTCCTGGGCTCAAGTGATTGTCCCATGTTGATTTCATAAAGTGTTGGGGTTACAGTTGTGAGTCACTGTCCCCTGGCCAAATGAAATAAGGAATGGGCTGGGTGTGGGGGCTCACGTCTGTAGTCCCTGCACTTTGGCAAGTGGAGGCAAGAGGATTGCTGGGCAACGTAGGGAGACCTTGTCTTTACTAAAATAAGAAATTAGCTAGGCATGGTGGTGCATGACTGCCATCCCATCTCCTCGGGTGGCTGAAGTGGGAGGCTTGTTTGAGCCCAAGAGGTTGCGGGCAGCCATGATTGAGCCACTGCATTCCAGTCTATTCTTTTGAATAATTGCATGGGATTTCATTGGATGTCAGTAGTAGAGTTTAATTCCCTTGATGATGTTTAGACTGTTCTAATTTTTTTTTCAACTTTACAAACATGCTTTTAGAATGTCTCTGTTCTGTAAGATAAATTCCTTTGTCAAAAGGTAAAATCATTTAAAATATTAATGAATATTCCTAGTTGCTCTCCCAAATGGATGACGAATCTGTACCTTCTACAGCAGGGGTTTACTTGGTTACCCTGGCTTCAGTCATTGTCTTTAATATTTTGAAGGATCTGGGTACCTGAAAAGATCAGTGGTGCTTCCATGGTGTTTACATGTTTAAGAGTAATGAAAACTGTTGCCATGGTGACAGGCTCTGGTGAACTAGTTTGATCGTTTTCTGGCCTTTGGATTAGATTTCAATTTGTAGGTTGTTCTTGGTTGATGATGGGATGATGCTAGTCTGAAGTGAGTTTAGGTTTTCTTAAGCAGTGTAATTGTTTATCACAGGCATGAAGATATTTTGGAAGAGTGTATTCCTGGAACTACTTTTTTTTTTTTTGGTGGGGGGGGTCACTGGTGACTGTAAGAGTGTGACAGTGGAGAGTTCTCATGAATTACATTACTAAGGTCTCCTGCCTTTTTTGAGACAAATAAGCAGCGGCTAGAACTTTGAGATCAAAGATAGTTTGTCGACAACTGTGAGGTCCTCATGAATGACTGTGCTAACTTTGTAAAGTCTGCTACCAGTTAAATGAATATTCTGTTAGAAAATAATTCACATTTTTAAAACTTTCTGTCATTCAGCCCAGACCCTTTGTTGTTGCCTCAAGTGCATCCCCATCTAGGTATAATTAGAAACTTAAATCAGGAGATAAGAGAGTGTTGTAGGTTTTTTGGTTACATATTTTTTTTTCTCTGAGAAAGCCTCTAGGTTTCAGTGTGACTCTGAGAAGTCATATTTTTTTTTCCCCTTCAACAGAGTGCAAAATTGAATCGTACAACTTGATGAATTTTTAAATTTACCAAATATTTTTAAATAACCAGTATCCAGATTGAGATACGGGGCCATTATTAGCACCATAGAAGCCTCCTTGCATTTTCCCAGTCACCCTCTCCCCGTGAAAGATAAAAACCAGTATCTTACCAGAGATTGGTTTTACCAAGTTCTAAGCTTTTTGTACATGGAATCATACAGATGGAGTCTCTCTCTGTCACTCCCGCTGGAGTGCAGTGTCACAGTCTCGGCCCGCCGCAGCCTCCACCTCCTGAGTTCAAGCAATTCTGCCTCAGTCTCCTGAGTAGCTGGGACTACAGCCCAGCTAATTTTTGTATTTTTAGGATTTCACAATGTTGGCCAGGCTGGTCTCGAACTCCTGAGCTCAGGTGATCTGCCTGCTTTAGCCTCCCAAAGTGCTGGGATTACAGGTGTGAACCATTGCATCTGGCCGACATCCTGCTTTCACTTCTTTTGGTTATGTACCCAGAAGTGGAATTGCTGGATCATATGGTAATTCTGTTTTTATTTTTTCTGAGGAAACTCCATACTGGTTTTCAAAGTGGCTACTCTATTTAATTTTCCCACCATTAGTGCACAAATGTTCCAATTTCCCTGCATTCTTGCCAACTCTTTTTTTTTTTTTTTGATTCTAGTCATCCTAATAGCTGTGAGGTGATATCTCATTGTAATTTTGATTTGTATTTCCCTAGTGATTAGAGATGTTGAGCATCTTTTCATATGCTTGTTGGCCATTCTTATATCTTCTCTGGGGAAATGACTATTCAAGTCCTTTGCCCATTTTAAAATCTGGTTATTATTTTGTTGTTGTTGCATTGTAGGAGTATTTAATATATTCTGCTATTAACCCTTTATCAGATATGTGATTTGCAAATGTTTTTTCCCATTCGTAGGTTGCCTTTTCACTCTGTTGTGCTGTTCGTTGTACATTTATTGTGCGCAGAAGTTTTAAATTTGGATATAGTCCAATTTATCTACTTTTACGTTTGTTGACTGTACTTTCGGTGTTGTATCCAATAAATCATTGCTGAATCCAGTGCCATAAAGCTTTTGCTCTGTTTTCTTCTAAGAGTTTTTTAGTTTTTGGTGTTAGGTTTAGGTTTTTGATACATTTTGAGTTACTTTTTGTATAAGGTAGGGAGTCCAGCTTCATTCTTTTGCCTGTGGATATCGTTTTCCCAAGGTCAATGATTGAGAAGACTGTTGGTACCCCATTGGGTGGTTTTGGCACTTTGGTTGAAAATAATTTGATTTTGTATGCAAGTGTTTTTGTGCACTTCTTAAAAAACAAAATAATTATATTCTTTTTTTTTAACTGTAGTAAATGTCTTTTTAAAAGAAACTTATAATGGAAAACATGAATCATTATCCATAAGTAGAAGGTCATGCTAAAAATACCATGGAGCTGGGAAGATGTGTTCACCCATGCCTGTGGTCCCAGCTGCTTGGGAGGCTGAAGTGGGAGGATCGCTTGGGTTCCAGTCTAGCCTGGACAGCATAACAAAACCCTATCTCCTGCTGAGTTCCCAGTGGCTCTGTGTGCTGCATCCCAGAACATTCCTCATCTAATTGAGAGGGTACATTTGTTCCCCCAACAGATAGACTCTGCTTTGTGGTCTCTGTGTGGGAGCTGGGCTTTTCTGGCTTTAGCTTCCTCTGGGTGACCTACTGGGTTCCTGCTGATTTGGCCAGCCAGTGTGTATTTTTAATGTTTTGATTGTGTTGCCCAACTTACTCGTGCAATTCATCCATTTTTATGTGTAACAGAAGTTCTTTTTCATTGCTATATAATATTCTTTTGTTTGCATATGCCATAATTTATCCATTTTACTGTTGATAGACATTTAGATTGTTTCCAGTTTGGGGCTGTCTGGGTATCATTTCTGTATATGCCTTTTGATGTATGTATGTATTCATTTCTGTTACAGTAGATTTGTTGGGTCCTAGGGTATGTCTGTGTTCATTAGCAGTCATATTTGTTTTATACTTCCATATAATCATTTTGTGTTTTCCTTCTTGTACAGTGTGCCTGAGAATACAGATTAACCCACAGAACAAAGCGGACTTCCAAGGCATCTCCCCAGAGCGCGCCTTTGCTGATTTTCTCTTTGCCAGCACCATCCTGCACCTTGTTGTCATGAACTTTGTTGGCTGAATCATTCCCATTTACTTAATTGAGGAGCAGGAGACTGAAAGAATGTAAGTGATTATCATAGTCCTTGTCCTATGATGTTGATTTTAGAAAGAGAAATTGGATGGGACTGGTTTTGAACATGGTTGGCAAGGCTCCCGTACTGCTATTGACATTTGCAGAATTTTCCGTTGGTCTTCAAAGTATTCATTAATATCATCATAATTCATCAGTGCTACCGCTCTTGGTCATTGCCTTGTCTTCTCATTGTTCTTCAAATCGTTAAGATAAAAGAAAATTAGTGTTTGTAGCTAGTACAATAATTTCTGCACCAGTAACTCCATGAAAATAACTTAGAAATTTTGGAAGAGACATAAATGGTAGGTTTTTTTTTTTTTTTTCTGATTTTGATCTCAGATGACTTTAAATGCTGGGCCATTGTTTTCATAGCACTTAACATTTGATAGCATCCAGTGTATGTTGAATAAATGACTGTGGGCATTTGGTAACATGTGCCTTAAAGTAGAAATAAATGGGGAAATTGGGTTAACTTGGGTAAAGACTTTAAAATACAAGATGGGATGCTGTTTGATTCATTTACTATTTTCCTTTTTTTTTTTTTTTTTTTTTTAAGCAGTAGAATTCTTTCTCCCCTCTCCCAAACTCTTATAAAAAGAATCTCGTTATATCAAGCAGAAGTAGAATTGAGTTGTTTTGATGGACAAAAATTGAAAAGCCGTCTCTGCCTGACCTTACCTTTCATGTATGGTATGCCCTCCTCTGTATCCCTCCCTCCCAAGCAGAGTTCTAAAGCTCTAATAAATATATGGGTGTTTTCCATATTGTATGTCAAGACTGTTACTTTACTTTATATATGAGAAAACAGAGGCCTAGAACAATCCTTTGGCCTTTCCTGGCCATATAGTTAATTGTTTGCAGTGAAGTGCCCTAGTCTAACGGTGTTCTTGGCCAGTGCTGCTTCCAGTATCCCATGTAGCTTACTGATGAATGCATGCAGTCTTTGCCTTTGCATTGCAAAATTTAATGTTCTGGGTGGTAGAGAAAAGAGAACCTTAGGAAATCTCATCTTATTTGGGGGAAGGATATTCCAGGATAAACCTCTTCCTGTCACCACTTGGGAAGCTGTCATTTTTATACTAATTAGCAGAAATCTAGTACAAGAGTTAGAGCATCTATGTGCAAAGTGGATGCAATAATGTGACAATGACTCTACTTCATTTTCTGACATGAATTAGTCATTTAATTATAAGGTGTTACATAAATCCTTTCCTTTGATACTGCCTCAAAAACAGTTCTGTTAGTTCAGGTAAAGCACCATTTTGGTAGTGGTAAGTTGACAGAGAGGTTTATTTCCGTGAAAAGTTTAAGAACCACTTTGTTCTGTTATTTTAATACAATTTAACTCCTTGGAGACCTGATTAAGACCTGAGTTGTCCTCTTCCTTCCCTTATTCCCTCCCCTTCTATGTGCCAGCCAATGTCTTCTTGTTGGGAATATAAAGAATATTGTTGGCTGGGCACGGTGGCTCATGCTCATAATCCCAGCACTTTGGGAAGCTTAGGTGGGCAGATTGCTTGAGCTCAAGAATTTGAGACCAGCCTCAGGAACATAGCAAGACCTTATCTCAGAAAAAACAAAACAAAACTCTGGCTTCTGTCTTCAAGATATGTACAGTCTAGTAGGGGAAAAGATGTAAACATAACAGTTAAAATACAGCCCAGTGAGGGCCTCACTAAAGGTGTGAACAAAGTGTTGCAAAAATCCGGAGAAGAGAGCAGCCATGCCATCTGGGAGCAGGGACAGCAGATGAGTTATCTGACCAATGGATAACAGCTATTGCCAGTTACCAAGTAACTGTTACCAGTGGATAACCTTGAATGCAGGCAGAAGACTGACCCTCCCATATTGACCTTCTTATGCTTGCAAATATGAGTAACTCTTGGGCTTCCTGATAGAGCCTTCTGGAAAGGTCATAAGTCTTCTGATTGCTTACTTTAGATTTCTGAAGTTCTTTTTTTCTAGATGAGTTATGATGTGTACATAGCAAGGGGACAGAGCAAACATTTCAAGGATGTTTTCTAGGCTCAGGGAGATACCAAATCATGGAAAATTATTTCTTAGGGCTGTCATGATTGGAAGATGACTCTATTGCAGAGAGCTTAGTATTTCAAAATTATGACAAAAGTAGAGACAAAAAAGCAGTCTCAGCAGAAACTCTGTACTGCAGACCATATTAACAACCTAGGACCACCTGTTCAGCTGAGAATTATGGGCCCAAGGCATAGCAAAATCTTCAATCCCAGATTGCAGTGTTAAATCATTCTATGGAGAGTATGTTCATAGAAAAATCCTTCTCGGCCGGGCGCGGTGGCTCAAGCCTGTAATCCCAGCACTTTGGGAGGCCGAGGCGGGTGGATCACGAGGTCAAGAGATCGAGACCATCGTGGTCAACATGGTGAAACCCCGTCTCTACTAAAAATACAAAAAATTAGCTGGGCATGGTGGTGCGTGCCTGTAATCCCAGCTACTCAGGAGGCTGAGGCAGGAGAATTGCCTGAACCCAGGAGGTGGAGGTTGCGGTGAGCCGAGATCGCACCATTGCACTCCAGCCTGGGTAACAAGAGCGAAACTCCGTCTCAGAAAAATCCTTCTCTGGGGGGGATTGTCCAGATTGTTTTTCATAGGGAGCCTTCATTTGACATACACTTCACTGTCCTGCTCTCAGTTTTTAAAAATATACATTTATTTGCTCCTTTTATGTGCTTCTAACTCAGCTATATGTGCAGTGTGCCACAGCACTTTAAACATAGTTCCAAGTAAATTCTCTATTTATACGAGCTCAGAAGGTAGAACAAAGCAGATTGAACATCTTCATATTTTCCAACCAAGTTGAGAATTTGATATTAAAAAAATAAACATCTATAATGTAGCTGATCTTACGTGAATTCGGGGGTGACATTTAAAACCAGTAACTACTCTGAAAAAGGCAGATCAAAAGAAAATGGCATTGGGTTAAAAAAAATAAATAAATGAAGGGGAAGTAAGGAATTTAACAGATAATGAGTGCTCAGTGTGTGCTATGCTTTAAGTAACTTCTCATTCTGTATCATTTTATTTTCAAAATAATTTCACGAGGATAGGCTTGCTGTTCTCATTTACAGATGAGGAACTGAAGTTGAGAGAGCCTTGCTAGAAATCTTATAACTAATAAGTCTGACAATCCAGTTTGACTTTTTAAAAAAATCCTATTTTTATACCCTCTTTTTGCTCAAAGTTGTTTATAGTATTTGTCAATTGTAGAGTTAAATACCTGCATTCAAAAAGATAGCACAGGTGTTTTATCACTGCCTCACCTTATTACTTTCCTTTATTTACTTTTATTATGACAATTAAAAAAAGAAAAGTACAGATAATGTAACAAACACTCAGGTATCTACCATTTGGCGTGAACAGATTTTGAAGAGATTAAACAGATTCAACTCAGTTTCTTTTTGAATCTCTTTCTAGCCCCAGTTCCTTCCCTGTCCTGTTAAGACTTTTTGAACAGCCAGGACTAATGTAACACCTAGATCTATTAATACAGCCTTTTCCAAACTTCAGACTTGTGTCTCCTGAAAACATGTCCAAAGATGGAAGTTCAAGAAGCCCTATGATAAAACTATCAGTTGGCATTACTGGTCGTAGGTGGTGATCCAGGTGATCAAGAAAGACTCAGTATTTTTATACAAATGAAAATACATAAGGAAAAATGCTCCCAGTGAGCTTCTGACCCGTAGAACACCTGAAATGATCAGTTTTTGGTATGTAGGCGGCAGCAAATTTTTGAATGAGTGCATGACAGAAAGAAGCTCAGTGGATTTCAGTATTTAAAAATTTATATACTTTAGTTTTTCCATGTTTCTTTGTGTGTGTGGTGTTTTTTTTTTTTTGAGACGGAGTCTTTCTTGCTGAGGCTTGAGTGCAGTGGTGCTGTCTCAGCTCACTGCAGCCCCACCTCCTGGGTTCAAGCGATTCTCCTGCTTCAGCCTCCCTGAGTAGCTGGGTCTACAGGCACTCGCCACCACACCCGGCTTATTTTTTGTATTGTTAGTAGAGATAGGGTTTCACCATATCGGCCAGGCTGGTCTCTTGGTCAGGCTGGTCTCGAACTCCTGATCTCGTGATCCGCCCGCCTTGGCCTCCCAAAGGGCTGGGATTACAGGCGTGAACCACTGTGCCGGGCCTGTGAAATTCTTTTTAAAAGACTTTTAAGGCCGGGCACGGTGGCTCAAGCCTGTAATCCCAGCACTTTGGGAGGCCGAGGCGGGTGGATCACGAGGTCGAGAGATTGAGACCATCCTGGTCAACATGGTGAAACCCCGTCTCTACTAAAAATACAAAAAAATTAGCTGGGCATGGTGGCGCGTGACTGTAATCCCAGCTACTCAGGAGGCTGAGGCAGGAGAATTGCCTGAGCCCAGGAGGTGGAGGTTGCGGTGAGCCGAGATCGCGCCATTGCACTCCAGCCTGGGTAACAAGGGCGAAACTCCGTCTCAAAAAAAAAAAAAAAAAAAAAAAAGACTTTTAAAAAAAATTTAAAAATTCTTTTTAAAAGACTCTCAGTCCATCTCAGGTGTTTCGAAGGGTTATGAGGAAAAGAAGGACAGAACTGTATCGGATCACAGTTTGAGAATTAAAGTTCCTGATGAATTGGGCCCTGGATCAGAAGGAAGGGTGACTGGGCCCAAAGGGACAAACCCTTGCTTGAAAATGTGCTCAACTCCCAGGGAGATAGTCATCAAATGCCTGTGCCTTGTTAGCATTTTGTTTTTACAGTGGAGACCATTCTCCCACAAGTCTTAAAAAATTCAGTGTTTGATCCTAGCTGGAATAAGGGGGGTCCAGGCTTGGGCAGAACATTTTAAATGCTGACTGGCAGCACTGTTTACAAACATGAAATTGTGTTGGCTTTTCGAATTCAGTTAAAGTAGAGTAATCTAGAAATTACCTTTGGAAGGGGATATTGTTGTTATTCCGTAGGCTCTGCTGCCGCCTAGTGGATTGTATA